AAAGGGAAAATGTGGTGAAAGGAGATAGTGCATAAGTTGGAGGTCAGGTAGTAGGTCTTTATTATTATGATGAACTACTCAAGGTTGTTTCAGGAATCATTATGACGACATGAAGAATCTATTCTTCACTTCTTAAAGCCTCTATTTGCAATGCACTACTCTAGTTAGTAAGGAAAACTGAAATCCGGAAATTGTGTCAGACACGAATTTCAAATATGTCATGTAGTTGTTTGAAAGAAAACTTTCTAGGGTATTTGGCAACCAAGTTAAGTCAAAGTCAGTATGGGTTAAATGACTGATACACCTTTTCCCAAACATCTCCTAGCTCTTATCTGACAAGGCGATTGGGTTAAGAAAAAAGTGAGTTGTAAAGTTGCCATATTTGAGCATGGTACACTCAGTAAGCTACCCAATCCCATACATAATCATGTTTCAGCGCAAATCTCATGCAAAAGTGTGCCATAGAATGGGAACCAAATTAAGATATTGTTGCAATATAATTTGGAGGGGATGTTTACGTGCCTCAGTTACTATGTATTGAACTCTTTTTTGGCTTTATCTATGAGAAACTCTACCCATGCATGATAATCCTTTATTTTGACCACTCTGCTTATTCACTTTTCTTATTTGCCTTCCAGCCGAGGTCTTGTCAAAAGCATGCTGCGGAAAAACCCAGAACTAAGGCCAAGCGTATGAATTTCTCTTTATCTGTATTTATATAGGTTCATTTACGTCTTAAGACATTAAGCTATTGCCTTCAGATCTCCTATGAGGTTCATTAACGTGGTTTACTATAAATATGACGCGATCTGCATGAACGAATTTTTTTGGGATAGTAATCTGTATATGATGGAGTTATTTTATATAAATAAACAGAAGCTTATAAATGCTGTACTGCTGTCTCAACATCTTTACCTAAAAGCAAATATGAGATTACTGGCATCCAGAAGATGCAAAATTACAAAAGCATATCAAGAACTAGAAATTGACTGTCAGCTCCGACACAAAAGAGATTATACTAAGGATAGTGAGCTGACAAAGTCCAGGAAGTTGTCATGGGAATTTACAGGGGATAGGTTGTCCAAAAATATGATGTTATTGTTTGTTACATTTCTTTCTTGTATCTCCTGCCTTCCATGCCTGTGCATTATGCCATAATGTAAGATGCTTCCTTTTGACTTATGGTTCTTCCGATAGTAGAAACATTCAATGCTTTATCTTTTGTTTTTGCTCTTTTTTATTTTTATTTTTACTTTGTAATACTTATGGACATACTTTTATTATATATTCAAACTGACAATTTTTATATATATTTTATAATGTGACAGGCAGCAGAACTTCTTAGAAATCCACTCCTTCAACCATATGTGATTAATACTCATCTCAAACTTAACGGTCCTAGGCGTAACAGTTTACCTGCTTCTTTGCCTGATAATGATGTGAAAAAAACCAGATTTGCAGTGTCTGAAAGCACACCTTTCCGAAAGAATAGAGAGAAGCGGATGTCATGTGGAAATGATAGGACTCTGAACCCTAGTGTTTCTGATCATGACTATACTTTTTCAAGTCGGAGACATCCAAAAACTCCAAGCAGAGTATCTGAATTGTCTGTTGGAAGCCCTGAAAGAGGATCAATTGTCACAAAAAAAGTCACTTCAACAGCTATGCTTGTGACCAAGAATCCAAAAGTGATCGTGCCGAAATCAGCTACCCCAAAAAGACAAGTGGAGCTAAGGAACAATGAAATGGTAAGGCTACAATTAAAAGGTCATTCATTTTACTTGTTTTAATCCTATAAAAGATAAATGGATTTATTCTAGACAACATCCAAGCGGTTCAACTCATGTACATCAAAGTGTGCAAATGACATTTTAAAACTAATAGATTCACTAGATTGTTTCTCATAACAACAATTCTGAAAATGGTTTCTCACTAATCTTCAACAGTGTCAACTTATATGTGAAAAAAGAAGATGGTATCCTAAAATCTGACCTAATAATGCTATTTTCAATTTGGATCTTTAACCTACCTTATAAAAAAAGCTATTTTCATCTGAATCTTGATTAACCCGTTGGAATACCCAAACTAGGAATATATTTCGCCAAATTAAATTAGATATTCTGTGTTAGCCTATGTTTTATTAGGATTCGGCTAAAAACTAACACAACCATAGATATGACAAAAGAAAATATGAGGGTAACTAAATGGTATTTGCTTATTTGGCAAGGGAGTAAAATATGAGGGCAACTAAAATCAAGACGTGAAAATCCTTATTTTCAGCATGTTTTCGACTCCTCGACTCATGTATGAAAATGAGATGGTATTGGGACTGTGACTTTATTTATGTACATGTGGTATTTGTTTCATTAGACTTTAGCTAGTTAGTTCCCGTGATCACTTCTCTTTACTTGGTTGACTTAACAAAAAGGAATTATAGAATATCAAACAACGTAGGTTAAAGAGTGTACATTCACCATGAAGAATATGTGTCACTCCCATCTTTTCTTTCCCCTTCCCTTACTTGAATCAAAGAGAATTGAAGATTCTCTAATTTGTTTCTGCAGTAAAACTGCTTCTCTTTATGATTTTAGATTTAAGCTGTGGATTATGGACAACTGGACTTGATATTTGCCTTTTAAACGTTGAACTTTTCAGGGTATAATTATTTACATTCTGCCTGCTCATTTCTGGTGAGAATGGCAAGATTAGCTTGTTTCAAAATGCGTCCTTCAACTCCTTTAATATCATCTAGTTTTCTTAAAAAATAAAAAAATTATCTTAGTAGTATAATATCTTTCAAGATTTTAGTTACTTTGGTCTTGACTCAATATTTATTTTATCCACCTCGACAGTTAGCTAAATCTGAACTTTTTTGTCTTTTCTGGCATGTAAGTAGATATGCATTTATATGGGCATAAGGGGATACTGACCTTGTAAAAATATGTCTTGTCAAAATAAATCGAGTAGAAAACAGAATAGTAGCAACTCCATAGTTTTATCATAGGATTGGTTAGAACTATACCCATCTCGTTCTTGAAAATTTTGCCCGTGCTACAACAATTAGTACTTGCTGTTTATAATTGTGAAGGATTCTCCAAATCTTCTGTATTACTCTTGATTTCCTAATTTGTATGACACTTTCTATTGTAGGATATCCAAATGGTTTTGACGTGAATTCGTAATAATATTCAAATTTCAAGAATTTAAATCATTTTATTATTCAAATTTAAACTTAGATGAGATGCTTTCTCAGTGAAATTATTATTCCAACTACAAATTTAATATTATTTTTCCACCATTATTATTGTGATAAAATAGTGGGTTTAAAATCTTAAATTGTGTCACACGAGGTGGCGGCAATATGAGTTTAGGTTTTTTCTCTAGGTAAATATGTTGTTTTGTTAAGCAACCAATACAACGTTTCAGATAAGCGTAGTGTCACCAATACCAATAAATTTCTGGTTGTTGACCCTGTATGATTTCTCTGTTTTGTTGTTAAACTTTCATTTTCCCTCTTGGTAATTATAACATGTGTTTACAAAAAGTATTTAAAATAATCAGAAGTTTTTGATTTGCCTTGCTAGCATTGCAAAAGATCATATGATTTTGTGTTTTCTTATCACTAAATTTGTGATGGATTACTCGTCTTGCATAGTGTTTTAGTCCTTTATCTATTTGGATTCCTAGACTATGTAAAGCGTTGAGGCGGTAGATAAAAATGCTTGTCTCCATCTGCATTCAGGCCTAGCTGGCGAAAGTAGAAGAGAAGAGAGAGAGAGGGAGAGCGCACGAAAAGAAATGAAGAAGATAACATGTAGTTGCTCTTGTGTCTGTGTTCTGAAAATCATGGATATAAGCTTGTGCGCTTTAAGTTGTAATATGACTTAATACGCAATTTTAGCCTGCTTAACCACATTTCCCTTGGTGATCTGTTCCCTATACCTGTTGTTTGACTACTCTATGCTTGACAGGCTTCACGAACCTTGGTGAAGAGATCTGTTTCTACAACTCGTAGGGCATCCTTGCCGTTGACAAACAAGGCAGCAGTTCAAGAAATACCTCGAAGGCCGAGTCTCAGTTTCCTTGACTGTATCAAGTCTCCTGATGTTTCTGTCAATGCCCCTCGAATTGACAAGATGCTTGAGTTTCCATTAGCCTCATATGAAGATCCTTTCCATCCTACACGCCGAACATCATCAAACTCTGCGCAAGGTTCCTCTGGCTCACCACAAGCTGAGTATTCAGTTATGAAAGACAAATGTACCATACAGATTCCTGACAGTAAATTTGATAGACTGAGTTCAAATGATGCTTGGCGGGGGTTTGAAGGCCCCATGGTGCATGCAGATAGAGAGGATATAACTGATTCTTCTGATCAAAATGCCACTGCTGGTGCATCTAGCCGAACCTCATCTGACACAAGACGCCGCCGTTTTAACATGTCATCTTATAAACAACGGGCCGAAGCCCTGGAGGGACTACTTGAGTTCAGTGCTAGACTCTTGCAAGAAGATAGATTTGATGAACTTGGTGTCTTATTGAAGCCATTTGGACCTGAAAAAGTTTCTCCTAGGGAAACAGCTATTTGGTTGGCCAAGAGCATCAAAGAAAATGCTTCTAAACAAGAAGATTAGTTCTAATGAACATTCAATGTGTATAAAGTAGTCTTTGCTGTAATATTATCCGTAGGTGCCCAGATTTTGCTGCATAGAGGCATAGTCATAAGCTGATACGGTAATTCATAGCTAGGATCTCCTATTACCCTTACCCCTTGCACATTTAGCAAATTCATGCAGGACTGAGAGGATAGTATGGATGAGAGAACAGGTCTTTGAATCCACTAGAAATATTACTGCTTCTGGATGGGAAGTCCCAATGTTAGCATCTATTTTCGCCCAACCTGAGAGTGCTTGCTATGTTTCTTGTCTCTTTTATTTTTGACTGCATTTACTCAACTTGAGACCAAGCTAAAGAATTTCAGCTTCAGTTTTCATCAGAAGTTGGGCGTCTATCCCAATTTTGGGGTGACATTTGCAGTTCTCGTTATGCACTTGGATGCTCTAATAACAGAGATATTTTAAGAAAAATGGAGTTTAAATAGACAGGATGGAACCAGTACATGCTCAAAGGAGGCTGATGTAAACGGAAGTGATGAGACTTGGATACTTAGAGTGAGCGACAAGTAGCTACAGATCTCTTGCACTAGCCATTCTTACCTCGTACACAGGAGAGAGATCTTCCACAGGTGAAATGAAAGACATTATGCTGGGGAATCAACCTTGACATGCTTGGAGGACTTTGCTGGTTTGTAGAGTTTGAGTAACCAGGTTACATGGCTTTCTGGGACATTGTGTCTCCTGCTGTGGGTAGGTGTTTCTTCCCTGCTAGAATCAGGTATTCCTGTTATCCCATCCATTGATGGTATGCGCTTGCTTTTTCTTTTAATGCTCCAATTGGGCCGTTGCCTCGGTTCACTCTGTGATCTAGCTTTTGCTCTTGAGGATTCTGTATTTGACATGTATGTTGGTGCAAAAGGAGCACTAGAAAATATGGAGTTCGGATTTTCTGATTGTGCGATGGAAAATGGGGTATTGGATGATATGGTTGTTGAAACATTAGAGCTATGTTCAGAACCTTTTTCTGCCATCTTGAAGGAGAAATCCTCTATATGACTGTCATAACTTATTGTGCTCATATCACTCGGTGTAGTGGGGCTTCGACATGTCTGAAGTACATGATAGTCCCTCCTTGATACTGAAAGGCGATGAGATTCAGAGGTGTTCAATCCGTTTTCCATTCTTGCAGATTCATTCTTTATGCTATTTTTCTTCTGGACTCTCCCTTTCCCTTGAATGCTAACATCCATCTTTTCCTGCCATTTAAAGTATTTATCATTTCCATTTTATTGTACACTTTAAATTATGCAGAGGGATAAAAGGAGACCTACAATACTGCTGACTCTGGTAAGCTGACTGTTTTCAGATGATACTTTCTGGCTCTTTCTTGATTTGGGGGTATGTGCTTCTTCAGCCATCTGCACTCTTTGAACACGAGCCCTTAGTTGAATGACCATAAGAGAGTGCATGCGTTTGACCATTGCTGCTGTCTGTTTCCTCACTAGGTGACCCCTTACCAGTGCCTGTAATCTAACTAGGCTTCTTAGTGCGCGCAATGCTTTCCTAGCCTGCATAAACATCAATCATGCTTTCAAGCCAACTTTCACCTTTTACCACTTAAACATTGTTTATTTCATATAAGAGCAGAATATCATTCCACATAGTTTAGCTGTGCATGTTTGTTGGCCTTAAGTTGGGAACAAAGTCCTTCCGATGATAGTAACTAGGAAAGTACAAAATTTGAGGATCAAATGAAACGAAGCATGGGTAAACCTAGGTTGGAAAATAAACAAGAATAGACTGAGAGTTTGAATGGTTACCAAATAAGAGCGGAAAACAGCTTGGATTTTGGTGGCAGCTGCATTCTTAACACCTCTGGTAATATAGGTCTTTGGTTCTATTGGTTCTATAGCTCCTTTTGCTGTTAGGCTTGCTTTGTTGTGTTTCTCCATAATTGAGCCTTGTGTATTTAGTTTGTAAATGAAAGTCAAGTCAAAAGACCTATTACTCTTATGGTTATTTCTCTCCATGCTTGATGATTTCTTGAAACTCCACCTCCTTTTCACTTTTGGAGTTGATGGGCAACTTGCAGTTGGGGTTTCCATACTTTCTATTGATTTCTTTTCTTTCTTTTCCGTTTCCTCCTTTTTCCCCATCATCATCAGAAAGTTTCTGATCCATTTGCTTGCCTTCGCCATTTCTGGTATACCTTTCAATCTCTTTCAGTCAACAGTGTATTCGTATTTTCGCGAGAACTTTTCTCGAATTATTTGGGTGAATGTTCCACAATATTTGTTTCATTTTTATGTGGTGGAGTATTGATATAACGAGGTTAAGGCCTGCACTCTCCACAATATTCAAATGGTTTTGGTGGTGCAACTCTTTATTAGTCATTTTCACAGTATTTGGTTTGCCAAAGGCCTGCAATGAGTCCTCTTTGTCTTGCCATTTGCAACTGAGGTGAGAGACTTGGACAACAGAGTTCTTTTTTATTAGTACTGGAGGTTTCCCAAGTAACCACTTCTTTTGGTTTTAGTTCATCAATGACACCCGAGTTATAGTCCTTTCTTATTAAGGAACCTCTCTAATATCAAAAGCATCACATTTGGCTCAATGTCTTGCTTCTTCACCAATAACCAGTCATGATTTCAAATTTTATTTTGACTTGGATTTGCATATTAAAAATAGCACGGGCTAGCCAGTTTTCGGAATGGTAATTGAAAAATAACCACTATTTTGCTGCAACACGAAAAGTTCCAGCATAATATACTGGAGATTGGTGCACCTGTGTATGAACTTTCAGCATATTATGCTGGAATTCCAACACATGGAAAGTTCCACCATAATATACAATTGGAGCACCTGTGTATGAACTTCCAGTATATTATATTGGAACTCCAACACACAGAAGGTTCCAGCATAATATACTGGAGATTGGAGCACCTGTGTATGAACTTCCAGCGTATTATGCTGGACCAGTACATTATGCTAGAAGTCCAGTATATTATACTGGAACTCCAGTATATTATGCTAGAATATTTTCCGGATTTTGAACAGTGTTTTGGTTCAGATTTATCTTTGCATGAAAAGGCTAAATTTCGATAACTTTTGGAGCTCTGGCTATTTTTCAATTATCATTTGTAAATTTGCCGATTTTTGAATTTCACCCGAAAATGTACATCAAGCTTTTGGGCTTTAGAAGAGACGAAGAAGGCCCATTGGATTTGGCTATGCGACAAGTGCACAAATAGCCATTCTCAGGGATGCTATATAGAGATTAACTAGTAATTATTTTGTCCTAAAATTTTAAATTAAAATTTTTAATTTCAGGACACTTTTGTCCCAAAAATTGAACTGAAAAAGTGAAATTCAAGACGCACTGACTAATTCCTAAATAACAGCCTTTTAGTGCGGCTACATGGCATCATTTCTACCTTCTTGAGCCCACTTACTTTTTTCTCCATGTTAAATTCCTATTTTTCAATCAGGTCATTCTTGAATTGGAAACATGATTTTATTACTAAGTGCTGTAGTAATTTTCCATATTAAATATTTCAGAGCTTTTGGTATAGGCATCCTGTAGCTTATTCTCTAATAAGAAAGGAGGGGGAAAAAGGCAGATTAACCAAAGATTACTCTCTTAGAAAGGGAACTTATCATTTTTCTAATTCTTCATTTTGTTTAAAGTCTCATTGATGAAAAGAACAAATATATATATATATATATATATAGCAACTCTGATGATTTCAATTTTATACCTTCTCATCTTTATCACACTTTTGTCTTCCAAAGTAACCATAATTACCTCGCGTCAGGCTTGCATCATTCATCAGCATATCTCTCCCTCATTTTAATGTAGAACTAATAAGTCTTCAATTTTTGAAAAATTTCTACCTAAACCTTTTGATGTGTATGTTTATTAGTTACCTCTTTTTTTCGTTAGTATTCTTTGATTGAACACATTAATTGTCGTGTCCATTCTTTTAGTTATACTGTTTAATTTTGACTTATATGATCTACATCACCAAAGACCTATTTTTTATTACATAATTCTAAATTTTACTTGCTCACGGAAGTTCGTATTTCTACATACGATTATTTTAATGTAAAAGTATGTTTTACTTTACCAAGCAACAAATAAGAACACTTTCCTTGAAAGAATAATCAAAGGAGATCTAAAATACGTATTGAAGGACATTTCAAAAGAGGAAATTGCCTCATATTTTCTTGTCAAGGCTATTATCTTTCTTAATCTTCTTTTTAAAATTAACGAATTGGAAATTCTATCCACTCAACCATGGATGGGTTGGGGAGGATTTATGGAATTTTATCCTTCTATACTTTCTCCACTAACTAAAATCATGTTCGATTAGTTCTTTCCAGATTTAATCAAACGTGTACTAACATATGATAATTACAGACATTCAGACAATAATTTCAGTGCCTTGGTGAACCCAAAATGAAAATTATATTTGAGTTTTCATAAAAAAAATTCACATGGGTTACCTTAAATAGCTAGAAGAAATGATATCACGATACTCCTTAATAAGAATCTTTGTTTTCCCTAATCGTATGTGAAAGTAAGCTCAATGGTGAATTTATAAGAGGCGTACCCAAAATTTGAGCGCGACGGGGGTATCACTAACCTTAAATATGCCAATAATTAACGATAAAATTTTGTGTGCAGCTCTTTAAGAAATTAATAAGTATGACAACTTATCCGCAATATATAAACAACCAGAAATTTTTAAAGAAATAAAAAGCACTAAGCAAAGAGCGAAAGATTACTTTGCAAAATAGGTGCTATAGGAAGCAATGTTGATATAAATAGGTGCATATATATATATATATATATATATATATATATAAATAGGTGCATATATATATATATATATATATATATTAAAAGTAGGAACCCCAAAACTAAAAAGTTAGGAACCCCAAAACTAAAAAGTCAAAATTACCTAAATGTCCTTATCATTAAAAGAAGTACCAATTTAATAAATATATAAAAAACAAAATGCCTGCTAACATCCGCAGCAGGGGAGGCCCGACGTATTTTGGGGCCTAAAGCCAAACTTTAATGAGGAGCCTTAATGTTTTTAATTTTTTTAATTATTTGAAGTTAATTTTTCTAGCTTTTTTAGATGCAAAATTACTAATAATTTTCTTATAATCAATTTCTCCTAATAAGTCTTTCTCAATTGACAATATAGCTAACCCATTTAATCTCTCTTAAGACATTGTCGATCTTAGGTAAGATTTTATCAATTTTAATTTTGAAAAGCTTCTTTCCGCTGAAGCAACGATAACAGGAATTGTTGACATTATTCTATAAGCAATATAGGCATTTGGAAAAGAATCAAGTCTCTTTATTTGATTGAGCATATCGATTAAATTATTATCTTCTACTTGTACTATTTCCCTTAATACTTTCAACTCAGAAAATATATCTAAACCATCAGTATCAGATTGATTATTATGCTTTAAGAAAAACTCAAGATTAAGGCAATGTGTTTTTAAATTTCCATCATCTAGTGATCTTAGTTTTTTACCACTAAATGGGAAACCAAGAATATTTTCATACGCTTCAAATTGTTCAAATCTATTTTGAAGTTAAAAATAGCCTTGTCTACTATGTATAAAAAGTAATCAACTCTAAAGGACTCTTCAAGAGACTTTGAGATTTCATTATCAACATTCTCATCAAATTGTTTCTTCCTAGATATCACACGTTTCTTATGAAATTCGGGTTCGATATTCATTTCAAATGCAATTTTCTTGGCAGAAATCATAGCAGTTGCAAATCCTTCTTCTCTATATTTGTTTAAAAAAAAAAATCAAACCTTTTAATTGATCTATGGCAACATCAATATGCATGTCTTTTGATTGCATACTTTTGCTAACTGAATTAACAGCAAATAATATATCATACCAAATAGTCATACCCAATAAAAATTCAAAATTTTCGAGTTCATGTGTTACTAAGCAATTAGCTTCACTTTTAGTTTTTTGGATCATCACTAATTTCTACTAATTTCAATAAAGCATCTCTTATTTGTGGAGTTTGAAATTTTATTGCTTTAATGCTTTCAATACGACTTTCCCAACGAGTTTGTGACAATGATCTAGAGTTAGACTGGGTACACTATCCTTTAATACTTTCCATCGCTTAGTAGAAGATGAAAATATGAATATATACGTTGTACCACTCCCAAAAATGATATAGCTTTTGTACAAGAATTAGCCATATCACAAAGTAGCAAATTTAGATTATGACAACCACATGGTGTATAAAATGATCTAGGATTTACATCAAGAAGTCTTTTTTGCACTCCTTGATGTTTTCCCTTCATATTTGACCCATTATCATATCCTTGCCCCCTTAAGTTATCAATATCAAGTCCAATATTTTTTATTTCACTATAATAACTTCAAAAAGACTTTTTCTGCTTGTATCATCTACTTTTAAAAATTTTAAAAAATATTCATTAATTTTTATTGGAGTTGCTGAAATATCCACACTCCGCCGTATAAAAGACATTTGTTCTTGATGACTTGTATCTGGAGTGCAATAAAGTATGATCGAGAAATATTTTGCTTCTATAATTTTTTCTATAATTTTATTCTTAATTTCACTTGCCAATAAGTTTATCAATACATTTTGTATTCTATGACCAAGGTAATGACTATGAATTTCATCATGCTTAATTCATCGAATATGTTCCTGTATGATGGGGTCAAATTCTGCAATCATTTCAATTAAACTTAAAAAAAAATCATTATTCTCTTGATATATCTTTTCATTTTTTCCTCTAAATGCCAAATTATTTTTTCCAAGAGTTTTGATCACGGCAACAATTCTTGATAATATATTTTTCCAATTCTCTCTCTCTTTCTCTCTCTCTATTGATTTGTTCTCGAATATCTTTATCGATTATTTTATCTTTTTGCAGTCTCATTTCTAAATCAATCCATTCAGCCATGTTAATAATATGTTCATTTGTTGTTTCATGAGTTTTGAGCTTAGTACTAATATTTCTCCATTCATTACTACCTTCACTAGCTAGTTTACTACTACAAGTTCCGAAACTCGAACTAAACAACTTACAACACAAACAAAATACTTTATCTAAGTCTTTAGAATAAACTAACCATCTTCTATCATGTCTTTCACCGTTTGCCAATTTTTGAATATAATGTGTAGTAGAAAAAAATCTTGAAAAATTATCAACCGAAAAATTTGTGTCAATTGTTCTAGTCGGTCCCTTTTCTACTAATAGATCTCTCAACTTTGTATCTACATTAGTCCATTGACTAGGATCATATATATTTATAGGAGTTGAATTATC